ATATCCATATGTATCAAACCAAAATAAAAGCTGCACATGATGTACTAATGGGAAAAGTAAGCTTTCTCTATGTTAAGATTCCAACATAAAACCAATTGGTAATATGTGGAGTAGCCTAACATGTATTTAAACCATACCAAATGACATGAGGTAGGCGATGTGGGACTTTCAACACGCCCCTCCAACGAAGCCTGTCGGACCAGTGCAAATGGTACTTTTGACCCAACTAAAGGGCAACTTTTGGCTCATGACAATAACCGGAAAGATGTTAAGCTTTGGCTCCGATACCATGTTAAGATTCCAACATAAAACCAATTGGCAATATGTGGAGTAGCCTAACATGTATTTAAACCATACCAAATGACATGAGGTAGGCGATATGGGACTTTCAACACTCTATTTAGATAAATGACATATATCACAGTGTGAAGTATTAGGAGGAATAACATGAGGAAAATTTTTGTTGAGAATAACCATTCTTTGGCGAGAAGGGTGACCAAGCCGTATATGCCAAATATCTTTATTCACAACACTGTTACAGATTTGTGGAGAGGAGCTTTCTTTGACTTCAGTGTTGCCCCTTATCACATACAGACCCGATTGAAGATCACTTGTACCAATCTTCTTGATGAATGTCTTGTCTTGGATAATACATGCATTAGTGCTAAAGGTAACAGTGCAATCAGAATGAGAAACTAATTTAGAGATAGAAATCAAGTTATATGAAAAAGTGGGAATAAAAAGAACATCTTTTATGTATAAATCTCCAAAGATTTTAGCAATTCATGAATGAGCGGCTTGGACTTTAGTCCTGTCAGGCAAACTAACGTTTATAGGTAAAATTTGTTTGGAAGAAAACAAATTTGAAAGAGAACAACATATGTGATCGGTGGCTCCCGAATCTATAATCCAATCATTATTGCTATTGAAACTAATTAAAGAGACACAAGTGTTTTTACCTTTGTTCATGCTACAATAAACAATAGGACCAACCTGATTGGCAGAAACATTATCACTGCTATTACTATTGGTTTACTTCAGTAAATTTATCAGGGCTTGATACTGTTGTTGTGACAGTTTGAAATCATGATCTTCCCCAACAGACTCATTCTTTGATTCTTGGGTAGTGTCAACGTTATTCATAGTGCTACTCTTGCTATTGGTCTTATATCCAGGAGGAAACTCATGCTTCTTATAACAATTGTCAATGGTATGCCCATTCTGACCGCAAAAGGAACAAACCTTCTTGACATACCTAGTATTCTTACCATCAGTGTTGTTGTTGCTAGGAAACCCATGTTTTCAAAATCAAACAAATTCGGTGTGACCAGTCTTCTTGCAATGACTACAGGTAACAGTGGCACTATTGATCTTAACTTCAGCTCCACTTAAAAAATTGTTTCCCCCAATCTGTCTTTCTTGTTAGACCACGTAGGAAAAGATCTTCGATATAGGCGGAATAGGATCCATCATTAAAATATGTGAGGTGACATTGGCGTATTGCTTGTTCAAACCACTCAGAAAGCATAGCATAATCTTCTAATGAAAGACATTAGTCAGATTACAAGAACACTTAGCATAACAATTGAACCAAATCTGAGTAAAAACTCTCTAATTCATCCCAAAGCATGCGTATCTTAGTAAAATATTCAGTCACAGAAGCACTTCCCTGTTTAAGAGAGGAAGCCTCGATTGCAACTCGGATATACGAAGTAAATTTCTTTAAAAGAACTTGGATTTGAGATCTTTCTATATATCTTCATAATTGTCCATCCACAATATGCTTTGTCTAATTGAAGGTGAAACAGAATGGGTTAACCAAGATACAACCATGTTATTACACCTCTTCCACGCTTGGTATGTCGGATCAGTCTTGGCTTGTTCAGGAACAGTACCATCAATAAATTCCATCTTATTTTTCGCACTGAGAGCAGTAGCAAACGACTTGCTCTAAGAGTGATAGTTGTGTGATTCCAGAACAAGAGAAACAAGGGAAATCAATGGATTCTCATTGGGATGGAGATAGAGAAAACTATATGGTGCGTTGAAATAATTAATCCCAAATTGTTCTTGGATTCATCTAGTGTGGCTATGGAAAGAAAGGGAAAGAGAAAAAGAAAAAGAAACGAAGCAAGAGAAGAGACGAAACAAGAACATGAAGGAAAGAAAAAGGAAAAGTCGAGTGATGATGCGCGAGCAAAGTTCTTCAAAAGAAGTGCTCTAATACCATCTTAATAAACCTGGTTGCAGTGCGAGAAAGAATTATTGACCCTTTGCGGAAGCTTAGCCTTGAAGATAGCCATGAGAGAGGGAAAGGAATAAGAGAAAAGAGAGAGTGAAAGAAATGAAAATATTAGATGAAAAACTATGTTTACATAGAAGAGAAAAAAGAGGTATTTATCTTTACCCTAAAACAAGTAACCTATTCAAGAACCGAAACTACAATAACTTTTTTACAAATGTTAATCACATGCTTATTTGATTATGACCATTGGATGAAGAACCGCTTTGGTCACTTTGACAAATGCTGAGTGTAGAAATAATTTAATTATAACTGTTGGATGAAACATTATTTGGGTCACTTTGACACAATTAAAATATATAAAGTAGATTGACGATGGTTAAACTCCAAATTATATGTATTTGCAATAGGATTGGGCTGGTTTTGAAGACAAATTGTTCTTTCAATCACTTTTACTTTTCTTAATTAATTTGGTCTAAAATTTAGATCGCAATACCAAAATAAAGTTGTTTCTATTAGACCAATTTAAAAGTTTATATTATTAAAGAAAATATTAAATAGATAGTGAGATATTTACGAGTCCCTGTACAATTAATATAGTATAATTCTTGACATATAAATTATTAAAAAAAATACACAACTTTATAATTATATTTATACATTTTTATTCGTCCTAATATAGATAAAGTTTGTTTATCGAAGACAAGAAAAAGGAAAAAAAAAAAACCAATGCTCACTAATTTAATATTATATTTACCTCAAACTTTAAGCATGAAAACTTAATTTCATATAATAGATTAATTTGTAACCATGAAAAGAAAGTAAAACCTAACGACATGATTATCTTTTTTTTTTATATATATAAATATCAATCATAACACTAAAAAACATATTATATTATTATTTATATTAACTTTATCATAATAATAAAGACTTCATATATCTATATAATAAACTTTCCACCACACAAAATTTCACTTCAATTAATACTTGCTAATTATTATTTTTTTGCTGAAGTTATATATTTTTACCGACTTAATCATTTTTAGGTGGATTTCCATTTGATTTTTCATCATACTTCATCAATATATAACTTTTTCCTCGTTAGTTTGGCTCATAGCAAAAAAGATAGCACAAAGTTTTCACAATCACAACCATTTAAATTCTGCAAAATTAGGATCTATTTCGTCAGCAAAGTATGGAGATACGGGGAATGTAGGCGATAAAGGCAATGCAAGCAACAATGTTATTCGAGATAACGACAGAGAATGATGCGACAGTCAAAAAGGAAAATTACTTTTAAGGAGAAATGATCAAAACAAATGTCCTCTAGTTCACTTTATTATTCTGAAAACAGCAAAACTTTTAAATATGAACATAAAATTTAATAAATAAAGGATTTTGATTAACAAATATCGTTGCGGAATCACTAACTACAATATTTTATTAAAGTACTAGTATATCAATAATCCTTTTATATAAACAAAAAATTATTGTTATTCCTTAATAAATATCATGAAAAGACTTGTTAACTTTTTTCTACATAAAGAACCTTGTGTTACCCAACATAAACATCGAATAGTATTTTTAAGGATACAATTGCAATGATTAAGAATAGTATTCTTAAATGGATTTCAATATTCAAAATATTAATATATGGCAAGACTATTTCGAGAGCAAGAGAAGTTACATTCCCAAACTCAAAACCAACTTTGTATTTACACACTTGGAAATACTTAAATCAGTTCTAACCTTCATCAAACAAGCCTTTTTTTTTTTCCATCTATATCAAATCGAGATCATATGAATCCAAATATATTTGTAGAAGTACTTAACATAAAAGAATTAAATAATTAATTTTGAAATAAAAATTACTTATTTAAAAATAGAGATAAATTATTTTAAAAAAGACAGAAAATTGTTTATTTTTAAAAATCAATAAATTAAGCAAACGCATAAAAAAATAAAAAATGTGCTTATGTTATTTAAAAATGAATTAAAATAAGTGCAAACAAACTAACTTGCATCCTCCAAGAGCTCAACTTCATTACTTTAAGGAGTAGCAGTAATTGTAAGGATTGGGATATGGATTCCATCATATCTGGCTACAGACAGAAGGAACAATAACAAAATTCCTCCTTTTCTTCATTAAACAAAAAAGAAAATATTCATTTCTTCTTTTATTATTTTTTTTTATCTCACTTTATTTTTACTGTTTCTTTTTTTTCTTTTTTATTTGTCTATTTTTTTAGTCCACCCCTGAAATCTTGTCAGAACTCTTAAATGAAAGACAGCTTCTACTGATAGTTAGACAGTGAGGCTTCAATGATATGTAGCAGACTAGCAAGAACTGATTGCTATCATTCTTCCCAAGAGTTAGAGCTCAAGTGGCATAACAAGAACTGGTTGAGGCTAGGATCGAACTTACCCCCACTAACAACAGGTCAGAAATTCCCTTTCTTTCACCAAATATATTAAATATGATTTATCATAGTTTTAACCTGCAATTGTTGTCACAATTATATAATGTTGATGAAATCACGATTGCATTCGTGCCACCAACAAGTAGTTTACTAGTAATATTGAACTCAGTCCTTTTGTTTTGACTAAAGTTTTGTTCCAAAATGTTTTATGGATTCAATTATTACATCAATTTATTATGATTCATGTAAACTTCTGTCAATGCTATGTCTTTTTCACCTTAATGGGGTACATTGGTAATTTTTCTCTAAATAAGAACATTAACCGCATAGACATCCTATTGATTAAACTGTTCTGCATTGGTGATGAGAGAGAATCTGCACCCCAAGGCTAGAAACACCAAAAATGCTACTCTAAACCTCAGGATGCAGACAACCTTGTCTTCACCCAATAGTGTTACTGACTTCACCAAGAAACATTGAACCAGTGAGTGGAATATGTCAAAATGGTCACTTAAACCGATCTGCATTGGTGTTAAAAAAGAGATAACCTGCATCCAAGGGCCAGACACAATAAAAATATTGCTCTAAACCTCAGGATGCAGATTACCCTTTCCTGACACAATATTCAACTAGTGTGGAACCGCGGTGAAAGTTATCAAGTTGATTAAACTGTTTTGCTAGGAAGAGATAATCTGCATCCCAAGGACTAGGTACAATACAAATTATTATATTGCTCTAAACCTCAGGATGCAGATTAGCCATTCCCTACTAACACTGGCTTTTCCTATAAATATTAAGCTAATGAGAGAGGAAGAAAGAGAGAAGAAGCAAACAATCTACTGAAAGAAGGTCTGTTGTGGGTTGGATTGAATGCCATCATCGTAGGAATTTATATACAGTGGTACTCAAACACTAGAATACAAATCATTCATGATACCTAAGAATCTGTTGCATCCATATGAAGAATTTTCTAGATCTCAGTCCAAAAAGATGATCATGAATGAAATGGAATTTTTTCTCTTCTACGTGTTGTATTCGATAGCAACTCTTATCTCTGATTCATGCCACTTGGTTGTAGATACATGTGTGTTATTAATCTTAATTTCCCAGTTAATGCAGAATTCAAGTTACTTCTCTTCATGCGGAATTCAAGTTAATAATATCCATACAAGTAATCTTAAAATTCATTCTAGTTAAAAAACTTGCAGGACCACCTGAGTTTTGTGCTCACACAAGTCACAATCTAGTGAGTAAAAATAAAATGTAAATTTTCAAGTTAACTGGTGGTTGCAGTATGGATCAAGTAAAGCTATAAAGTCCTTAATTAACATCACTGTCATATTCAGTTTAGGCTTGTTGAACTTTCTTTCTTTTAACTGTGAATTGATGCCACCAGATGAAGAACCAGCAGAGCCATCACCTTGCAAGCCACTGCTAATAAGATTGCCTAGCTTCCTGGAAACTCTTCATTCCACCAGGAATAGATACCACCATTGCCACTGCCAGTTATAAATGTTATCTGTTATATTTATTAACTAAATCTAATACTTTCTAGGGCATGTTCTATACCTCAGGACCATTCAGCGTTATGCTTGAAATTAATTTGAAAGGTATAGAATCTCAATTTGTTGAGGGCAAGATCATAATAATGTAGGTGGACCAATTTGTTCCCGTTTCACTGGTTTACAACAAAATAAAGCAAATTCCTGATATTTAAAACTGAAGCAGCCACTACTATATATTGATGTTAACCTAATGTTAAATACAGACAGTGTTCCAAGTGAAATGAATATTTTGAAGATATAAACAAGCGATAAAAGTACAACAATTCACCCATTGCTGAACCCATTGGGAGTTTAACAATTAAGTAGTTAGACCCTGTTTTGATTTGAAGTAAAGACAAATCATTTTTTTGCATAAACTTTGTTCAAAATTAACAGATCACTAAAGAAGAATGAATGATGCTGAAGAAGATGAGGTCCTCCACATTTCAGTTCTATATCCAGAGTGCAGTTCCTCGTTCAATTGTCCATATTTATCATAAACCTGAATTAATTATAATTTTTATCATACAACTTTATTTGCAGAGATTGTCATGGTGGTGGTGTTTGTTTCATAACAATCATATTTTGTAACAACTTTATCTGGCATTAAACCAAAATAGATTACACACGATAAAAAAATCCTAAATTATACATAATTAGTAAACTTCGATGCTAGAATTTTTCAGTGGAATATATGATCTCATACTGGATAGTACATCAGTTTCTGGCGTGGACCCAACAGAACATTGGTCACTCACATGTCACAGATAATGATGGTTGTTCAAAGTTAAATGATATGAATGCCTAACACACCAACACTTGTACTTCGGCATAAAACTTTTTCCACTTTACTTTTAGGGCTGCTTCGGAAAAAGGATATATATATATATATATATATATATATATATATATATATATATATATATATATATATATATATATATATATATATATATATATATATATATATATATATATATATATAAGAATTATAAAATTGTTTTAGAAGCAACATGATTGATAATAAAAGTTACATATTAAGTACATAAAATTTGTGGACAAGAATTTAGAGACTGGGTAAAAAGAATCAAATTAGTCAGATTGTAATTTTTATTGATCATCTCATATCTTTTATTAGTTAGCGTTTGATTAAAGTACAATCTCCAACAGATTGAGAATACAAAAGAGAAGACGAATTAAAAAAGATAGAAGATAAACGAGGCTTATAGCGAAGAGGTCACTAAACACAATTTGAATTCTCATCAAGATAAACTTAATTTTGTTGAGTTCAAATGCACCAAGGACATGCTATTCTTAACGCATTTCTTTCTGTGCTATTGGATGAAAATAATAGAAACCAAATTTTATTTAAGCAAAAGAGATTCGATCTAAACGATGATTTAGTGGTTCTTGCCTTGCATGCATTTTAATAATAGAGTGCTTTAGAATAAAGATGTGACTTAGTCAGATACTAACACTTGCATAACGAAAATATATGATTCACGTATAGGCCAAGATAAATCAAATGCTAACATTGATAGAGTGAGACATTCTTATATAATCTTGTCTCGGAAAAATAATATCTTAACTGTGGAAATTTCTATAACTAAACTATTTCTCTAATCATCCATAACTTTAACCTAAAATTCGATTAGGTACAATTGATGTCACTCGCTAGATTATAACTACCTATACAGAGACAAAAATGTGCCCATGGCTACGACCTCCACCACAAATTTCCTTCTGAAGGATACAAATATAATGATGAATCATCACATAGGATAGAAATAGCGAATCCTAACTTTGAATGTTTGATAGAAACATCTTCAATGTCTCATACGTCATAAAGACAATGCCCACGCTTGGTATAACCTTGTAGTACTCAGGCAAAATGCCTCTGTACAAACCTCGTAGTCCTTCATTCCGAACTATGTGCTTAAATGTCCCAAATAAACTGGTATTATAGACAAGTGCTCGACCACCAGCTCCTTCCAACTGCATCCTGCGCCTTACAAGATCCAAAGGAAATGTTGCTGCATGTTGCAAGAGACAACAATTAAGCAAAAAGTAAAGTAAGAATGGTTCATACCAAATGAAGAAATAGCTATCTGATCTTATGATAGCTTCTGCCATGACTTCTTTGGAAGGAGAAACTGATATTCACAATAACTGACAAAATTATATGCTTTCTAAGAAAATAAGTTAACTAAAGTACCTAACTCGTTCATGTGTATCACATGAGGGAGCTTGTTCATCGTGCATGAATATCAGTATACACCTAATTACACCACATCCAAGTCACCAGGCATGCAAATTCTAGCAGCACAAAGTTTATGCCAACACAAGCAATCATATGATTAAGGGCCTGTTTGGGGTGGCAGCAAGTTTTCAGTTTAGTTTTCAAATGAAAATATCAAAACAAAATGTGCTTGATTAGATTGGACCTGAAATGACTTAATTTGGAAATACTATTAGCTCATCTTTTAAAATTAAAATAATTTTGATTTCTGGTTTTGTTATAGAAGCAAAGCACGGCCATAACAGTAGTATTTCGTCCCTCCCCTCAACACTATCATCACCATTTTCACCAACATCATTGTCAATGTCGCTGTAGTCACAAACAGTGCAGCTGCTAAGACTGCCATTACCGTCACCCCCATCAAAAACAAAGTTTGAAATAGCAAGCCATTATTTGTGATTTGGATTTGATATTAGTATATTAAAAGTATAAAACCTGAAAAGTTAAAAACAATTAAAAACTAGTATTTGTTTTAAAATAAAAAAAATTAAACTAACAATCAAACAATATAGGACCTAAACAGATCTATTCAAGCGTATCATTAATGAACATTATTTTCCCAAAGAAAATGGCATGTATCACATCTGGAACAGCATATGCAGTCTTAACTCAAAAAACCACATTTAAAAGAAACACCTGAGAATTGAAAAACTGATATTGGATACAAAAACCGTCAATAAACACCTACCTGTTGACGATGCAATTCCTGAAAGACTGCCACATGCAAGACTGACCATGACAGTAGAATCATCAGGCCTAAATTAAAAAGAAACAAAATATAAATTTACAAACCATACACACCAAACACGAGGAGGTAATTCTGCATAAAGTACTTTAGTTCAACGCAAATATAAACATTCACCTTCGGGACTGCCAAAAAAAACGTAAGCCATCATAAACAGAAAAGCTTATAGCTATATTGGGCCCAACACTCTGTACCATACAAAACAAGTAGTTATGTCAGTACTTTAGTTCAACGCAAATATAGACATTCATCTACGGGACTGCCAAAAAGAACGTAAGCCATCATAAACAGAAAAACTTATAGCTATATTGGGCCCAACACTCTGTACCATACAAAACAAGTAGTTATGTCAGTTATAGCAGGATCGTAAACATAAAGAAGCTAAATAGAAGAATTGAAAATCAATCATGAGCATACCAACAATGTAGCTCCAAGTCCTTTATAGAGACCCAAGAACCCTTCTTCTCTGTAAATGGTTTTAAAAGCATGTGAGATGCCCCTGTAGTACATGGAACTTCTCTGCAGAGAAACATAGCATGTTAATCTCAATTCTCAATAAAAATAAAATCACAAACAGTAAATCTTTACAAATTGGATCAAATTCAATGAAATATTACATGCCAATTAAAATATAACCACACTATAATGCTAGCAATGGAGCTCCAAAAGTTTTCGCGACAAACTAACAAAAATGGGTACTTACCTGTGCTGCAAGTCGTGTTCTCAACAAATCCAAAGGATATGTAGCTGTAGCAGATGTTATGCCCGACAAACCACCACCTACGAAGTGCACAAAGAGATTTGCATTGGTATTTCCTTGTAGTTTCTCCCCCATAAATAAATGCAATAGCTGCAACAGAATAGATACAATGAAATTGATTCAAACTTTAGAAACTTAAGCAACAACTTTCATTCCAGACTACATACATATTATGTAAAGAGCATTGGAGGTTACATTCTTGTAGCGTTCATAAGCATAAAAGTTGACTGCAGAATAAGGGAGACGATGAGCTATCGTCACCAAATTGCCTTTCCAAAATGCTCTAAATCCTTCTTCATTGACAATACGTGAAGCCTCACCCCAAAGGCTAGGGTTGCTCAACACTGCCACATCAAATTGCATACCTTGCACCTGATAAAGTAAAGGTGTGTAAAATAGTCAAATATACATTGGCAATGAAACTAGAATGGAATTTAACCTTCATAATGTTCTGCCTCCTAGATGGCAACTCTGGTACACTAGTAAAGTTGAGCCTTGGTATTTGTAGGTTATGGATTTGAGTTCGGAAAAATATCTTTTCATATACAAGGATAAGGCTGTGTACAATGACTCTCATTTGCAATGCAATGAAACTTTATAGAAAGTGGGATGAGGTGCACAGGGCTTAACAATCAACCACACAAAACCAGAACCAGCTTGTAAAGTAAAACATGACCATGTTAACAATCTCTTAAGTCTAACTCAACCGCACAGAACTGGCTAGCAAGTGAGGTTTATACATGCTTATATACTAATATGATCATATCTCTAGACCATATGGAATCTTCAACAATTAAAACTAGTCAATTAGACCAGAAACCTAAACCCATAACCCCATTTTAACCAAATTCTCAAAATCCACATTCATGACATGCTAGGCAGCCCTAAATTCAAACATATTCATTGTACGACATTTAAACAAACCAAGAAACAAACAAACCTGAAAAAGGATGGTGAGGCGTGACAGTGGAGCAGTGCAGGTCTTGGCAAAAGCACCGGCTAATCCACCAGCGAGAAGCTGAGACACCGTTCCCACTTGCGCTTGCTGGTTCTTCTGCTGCAACAATTTCACATTGTTCCCATGCCCGCCTTCAACCGCCACACCCACTCCCGCTGCTTCCATACCCACCCACAAAAATTTAATCTTTTAAACGAATGAATTAATAAATGAAAGGCCCCTGTTATGTTTTTTCTTTTCTTGGAGTACTCGGAAACCTCGAATCAAGGTTTCCCAGATGAGGATGAGTCGTTGTTACATGGGTGAAGGGTGGGTCGTCTCCTCGAGAAGGAACGGTGCGTGAACGTGAAGGTGAAGGAGAAGAAATAGGTGAAGAAAAAAAAAGAAACTTCATTTAGACTCCGAGTAGTTGAAAACTTGGAAGTGAAGAAAAACAACAAAAAGAAAAAGGGCAAAGGGTTTTAGGTGTGAACTATAATTGGGATTAGGGTTTTAAGGAATGGGACAGTGGGTTGAATTCTTCGACGTGTGAGGTGGTGCATATATATCTAAAAAGAGAAAACAATTTTTATATAACCTTTAACTTTGACACACGCGGACACGCGCGCATACATATATATATATATATATATATATATATATATATATATATATATATATATATATATATATATATATATATATATATAATTTAGAGAACAAAAATTAATTCATCTAATTTCAATTAGTTTTTTATTAATTTCCATTTTATTTTTATTAATTATTATTATATAAATTATTAATAATGCATGCCTTTAATAGAATTATATAGAAAAAAATAAAAATTAAGTTTATTGAAATTATACAATGTTTTATTTTAAGAAAAAAAATGTTTAAATCATATCTTACAGTAAAAGTAGGGAAATATCATTTTTATCACAATAAAAAACTAATCATATATTTTAATAAGGTTAGTTGTTACGTTATAACTTAACCTTTCTTTTCTTTTCTTTTTATAAATGAAAATGTCAAAAAATATTTTATTTTTTTATAAAAAATAATTATTTTTAAATGCATTTTTTTTCATTTATTATGAATCTGTTAGTGGGATATTTACATATTCTCAATGAAGTAAACATATTTTTTGGCCTAGTAACAGTATAAGACACTTTTATTGGTGAAAAAAATTATATGTTGAAAAGATATGATTTATAGTGTCGTTAATATTACTATTATTACTATTTATATCATTTAGTATGTAGTATTTAGTTCTTCTATAGTGATTATTTTATTTATATTATTACTTTTTTATCCCAAATTTGATAAAAAAAATAGATCATGATTTTATTTTTACTTGATTGAAGAAAAAATTGTTGAAAAATTTAATTCCCGTGTGACATTTGCAAGAATTTTTTGAATTATTTATTAGTTTTATTGGTCTACCGATAGTGCCATCTTTCGAAAGATTCTTTTTGTGTTACGTTACTTTAATTTCCTCCTTTTATAACAAATTTTTTAATATAATGAGTTGTTATAAAAATAAAACAAGATTTCTGTAAGCTATAAAAAAATATTGAGTAAAATTTTGGTAAAAACCAAGAAACGTTGATATAATTTACCCTAAAATCAAACACTGATGTAAAGTGAAATGAAATAAGACAAACTATATATTGTACTGTGTCTTTTATTTTAATGCAAATCAAGCGCTCTTTATGCCTGTAATTGTGGGCCTTAACTTGTTCGGTGTTAAACTTGTATGACCCAATAAAGCCTACATGCGAATATGTGTTGTCTCGGAACTTATTCAAGCCCAATAATTAGGCCCAGTAATTCAACCCACTTTCCTAGAAGTATATAGACAATTAATATTCAACATTCGTTAAAATATATTATCGTGTAAACGGAGAAAACAATTACTAATTTAGTTCTTAAAATTGTAAAATAATAAATATATGTTTCTGAAACTAATAGAACAGTAAATTTATCCTTCAAATTATAAATCATTAATTAGAATTTATGAAATTGTAATGAAGGATTAAATTAGTCTTTGAAATGAATATAATAATAAAATAATTGTTAAAATATAAATCATTAATCCATTTAATTTTTAAAATTATATGATAAGTTAAATTGATTCTTAAAATTTCAAAAAAAAAAAAAATCAAACATCTTGCTTCCCAAGCTTTAAGACCTGCTAATTTAATTATATTTTCAATGGACTTTTGATATTTTGTTAAATTTTAAACTTAAGTAGTATGATATATTTCATTTAAATATTTTATGTATATTTTGAATGTTAAAAATATCTAAATTGATATAATATTTTAAATTTGCAGTTTATTTTTGTTAGTTAAATATTTTAAAAATATCTGAGAGTAGTTTATTTTTGTTTTTACAAAATTTTAGTTTTTATATTTTACTCATGTAATTTTAAAGATTATAAATTATTGTGTCTGAAATATCAAATATGACTTTATAAGTCTCTTTTATTTTATTTTATTATAAATTGCTTTGAAAGATTGTAAGTTATTTATTGACTTTTATAGGATAAAAATCTTACAGATACTATTATATAGAATTACCGTCTTACTCTCGTTTTATAACTATTCTTTTTTAATTTTCTTAGTTAAAACCCTCTTCACGTCCTTTATGCTTTTAGTAAAACTCATTCTGGTCCTCGATGTTAAAAACTTTTATATTTTAAGAGAATATTAAAATTTATAATTATAGGGTACGTTTGAAATACATTTGCTAAAAAGTAACGATAAAATTACATTTATATATGTAACTAATTATGTTTACTTCAGATAGTAGAGAGAGATAGTGTGAAAAGATTTACGATGTTGGAGAAGATTCAAATCCGTTTACCCGGTTTGGTTAATACAAAAAGGAAAAGAATGTTTAACCTTGTTCTGACACAAGGATGAATTGATAGATAGGCCTGTGACATAATATTTTTACCCTAAAATGAATTTACAATGACTTTACAGTCTTGTACTTGTGCCCTTAATACAAAGACCACTTAATCCCAAACTTAGTAGCACCATAGAAGACAAATTTTTCAATCACTTTTCTTTTCCTAATTTCTGATGGTTGATTACAGCAACAGAAACATGTTAGTTATATATAATATCACCAATTTAAACCAAGTCTAAGCAAGGTTAGTAGATTGAAGACATCTTCAGCCTACAAAATCACGCAACAAGTGCCCTCCCCCGATAACATCTCTTCCAAAATGTCGATTTTGTGATTCAAAACCACTTATAACATAGCCCTCAGTCTGAAGGGCAACACCAAAACGTTGAGTTGCACTCATGCCAAAGGGCTCAGACAACCCAATACCATGATTTTGATGAAGACCAAGTGTGAGAGACACACCATTATTGTTGCTTGCCCCACCACCACCACCACTCCCCATGCTCACTCCAACACCCACATGCTGAATGCTTGTGTCAGTTTGATTCAGCTGTTCCTGACCCCTCACTTGCATATTAGCGATTTCACTTCTCGTGTGTTGTTTATAAGGGGCATCCTGAAACTTGTCCATGGAGGTAGATGGATTCTCAGTAACGAGAGAGTTGTCTGACGGTAAATGATCAACACTTGGGTTTCTCCTACTTTGATCTTCCCTCTGTGGCCTTTTTTGAGCTTGCTGTGATTCTAGCATATGTATTTCTTCCACCATTGGTTTCCAAAGCCTTACTCTTGCATTAATAAACCAATTAGACACCTGTTGAAGAGATATAGTCAATAAACAATTATATAATCCATCAACCATGATATGAAAACATTCATAAGATCAAAATTTAATCTTGAATCTTCACCTGGTTGCGAGATAGACCAGTTTGTTTAGCTAACATTAGCTTGTCGGTATCAGTAGGATAACTGTATCAAGAGATCAATGATTGAGTATTATTCTAAACACATGTATTAATTGTTTTGGTGAGGAAGGAAACAGTGAAAAAACCAACACATGTCCTTGAAGTATACATATCTAGCACGAAGCAGTTCTTGATTCGCGTTAATAAAATTTAAATCGCACTTACGGGTGAAGAAAGTGTTCAAACAACCAGGCCCTGAGAACACTGACGGCACGCTCAGGGAGTCCTCTTTGAGGTCGCCAAACTGGTTGTTGGTGCTCAAGAAACCCTGGTCTTTGGCTGTAAGTGCTCCTATCACTGTTGTGAAACCTTGGAGATTCATCCTTTCTGTTGCTAATCTGAAAAGGAGCCTTGTTGATGAACTGAAGCTGGTCAGTGATAGCATTCTTCAAGCACTTAAAGTGTTTGGACATGGCATTTAAAGCCAAACTTGCATATGGGGCTGCATTACCAAGACCAGCAACATACTCAAATGAAGTTATTACTGCATGCATCTGTTGATAATACTGTCTGTACCTCCTATAAACCTGTTGGTGATTCACAAGGATATTGTAAAAATTAGGATCAGGTAATATAGAAACTTTTGGTTATGTGTGTTGATATTCGCTGAAAACTTGTAAAACAATTGATATACATCTTACATACAAGGAAAAGCAATTACTTGTATCCTCATCTAATAGAGATAAGACTAGATCTCCATATCCCAAATCAAATAAATGCTTGAAAAAATACATGGAGCTTAGCAATTAATCAGACTTGTACAACTTTTCGCATTTAATTGGGCTCTATACATTCAGATGTTAGATCATCCACCCTAACTGTAAGGGAAGAATAAAGCAATGAAATGCACCAACAAATGAAATATAAAAGCCAAGAATTGCATTTATTTTGATCAAGCAAAACCATTTTGGTACCAAGGACAGTTAAATTCCCATAAACTTAATAATTCTGAAAGACATAGATGGAATACAAATTATGTGATTGTCACATAAAAATATAAATCATGAGACAAGGGAAATGATACTTGTACAACAAATTTTACAACCAAGAGAGAGAAAGAGAAGTGGGAAAATTTTGAATTGAGATAAATGAGGTGATAGAGGCACACAAAAAAAAGACTTCGTATAAAATATCATATCTAATTTATAAATAGGAACCAAAAAGAAGCTACAACTCAACATGTCAAATGGCAGGAAAGAAAATAAAACTGCAACGGACAACTAAAGTTTAACCAGCAAGATCAATTTGGATGAGTTCACTAAGATGACAATCATTAGACTAAAATCAGGAGTAAAGTGAATATCAATAACTGTGTAATCATACAGCTAAAGAAAGAATAATGACAGTTACAACATAATTTCATGGTAAACAAGTTTTCCACCTTAAAATGCATAATTTAAATACAACTATAATTGTATTAGTTTACAGTGAAATTTTAAGATGTATATTCATATTTAGAGTCATCAGTTATACACATCAATTTGATTTACATCACATTTTAGAATTCAATCATTGCAAAGGGCCAGGGCCCACAGGTAAGGGTGATGATGCACAGGAGCCAATCCCTGTCCATCCAGGAACTGTGGCGTAAGAAATGTAGGGACCAAGCAGTATTGTGTAGCTTATAAAGAAAATACAATATTTAAACTAGTGAACATTCTTGTTCCATTTCCCTTTTATTCCTTTCAAATTTCAATAATTTTTGTGTGACTCTTTTCAATCCACAAAAAGATTAAAACAAATATACTGATTTATACACAGCAGAAACTAGCATGGTTTACACACTATCATTGAGGAGCTAACATGGCCAAATAAGTATTGGTTTGTTTTTTCTAACTTTTGTTGTGTACAATGACAGTAATGGGATTTGATCCTAAGACCCCATACAAACTACCCAATTCCCCAGGCCAACCTAAGTGGGTTAGGTATTGGTTATATTCCACCACTGATTCCATCTCCACTTCCCATGTTCCCAAAGGTTTGCCATTGGATTTCAATTTCTTCATGGATATTTTCAATCTTCCTTTAGATCAAGTCCAATAAATAGTTATCTATTTAAATGATACAAAACATGTCCATGCCCTATATTTTCCACCCCAAAAATATTGAACTACCATAAATGACTGCTTAAGCAAGAATAGGTTCCCAACAAAGCCAAACCATAAAGCATACACGAACATGACAACTACCAAATGGTACAACACTACCAATCTTATAATTAATTAAGATGACAAGTCACATGCTCTAATGCCACATGTAGTTATATACCATTTTATTATTCATCAACTTTTTCACTTTTCAAGGCCATATTTATTCTTAGAAGCAAGTGATCGGGACACAATGCATGTGTACGTTGATACCCTACACTTGACAATGTAAGCCCACTGTGCTCACATAGTACGTATATGCCTAAAGGTATTAAGAGGTATATTTGTAGGATAGCATTGTATATAAAACTAATTTTGCACTGTAACTTCATACTTCCAGACGTTAATTCATATTTTAATGTAAAATTAATATTTAATATTCACTACAAAAAAAATATAAGATTTTGCATCTTAATCTTTTGACAATTAAATATGCAAGCCATCTATCGGCTATATAATCATTTTATATACCTAAAATATGGCCTGCCAGACATTAATTAATAGTTCCAAGATCATGTGAGAAAACTAGTTTCATTTCGTAGAATCAATTTGCAACTAGTAATAATTTGTCAAATGTAAAGTAAAACATTATCATGACATAACATGCAACTGCTATAGCATCCACAATCAGAACAATCATAGAGTTACTTTAATCCTAATACCAATCTAAAGCCAATCTTAGATAAAAGTTAACAAACCCTTGTCATATGTAACTTTCTTTAATCTCAGAACAACACGATCAGATCAAAAACACACTTTTGTGGAGTATAAATCTTTTCCAATGGATTCCTTCAATCACTTTATGCACATTAATTACCCAAAACCAATCTGGATGACATAGTCACTAGCTAGAAAATCTTTCTATAGATGTCAGGCACTTTACACTCCCAATTTTCGTGCATATATTCCCTGCCAATAACTTTTCCAAAAAGATAACCAAGTTCACCGAGGCCATCTATACCACGAAATACAAGCATCCTTAAGCAAATAGAATATAAATAAAAGCTCAGCCACATACAAATTACAAAATTATCACACCACATACTACACGATTCGTTCATGAAATCCAAAAGATCAAGTGCTAGTACAGAAACCAAAACCCTTAATGCATTCGTTAAGTATACATTTATGATATCTTAGGACTTAACTTTTTAAGGCTAAAAAGCCCTGGCGAACTTTAATCAGGATTCCATTTTTCACTCAAAATGTATCTAAAACAGTAAAATCACTGACACTTATCAGGAGGAAAAACATGCATAATCACACAAACACAAAAACCCAAAAATTGTTAGGAAATACATTAAACATGAAACCCCATTTAAAGAAAACTTCAATGAACCGTAACTGAGATCCTTAGAAATAAAAAATGAAATTAGCATACCTCGTCAAGCATGGTTAATAATCTACACTTCTTCTTCCTACTCTCATTCCCATATTCCCCAACTGAATCTTCCCCACCAACAACTCCACTAGCACTTAAACCCTCATGAGGAGGTTCCATCAATAATGCATCAGGAGCAATAATCTTCTCGGTAGCGTAAATTCCACGAACCCCAACATCACATAAGTCTTCTAATAATTGCTGCGCAGGTTTCAGGAATCTCGATCCCTTCAATATCGAAGCATACCCCGTAAAAGGTCCGAGTGGAACCGAATTCCTCGAAACCTCACTGTTCCTTCCAACCAAGCCTGGAATAACACCCCCAAATCGCTGAAGATTCAGTTCCAAAGGGTGATGAGTGTTGTCACTGTGGGAAGACAAAGACAAAGACAAGGGCTCAGGCTTGAACACCATTATTTCACTCGTATCATTGTAGCCATCACCAAATTCCCTAAGATTCTGAATCTGATAGAGAAAAGGGTTGTTGTTGTGGTGGTTATTATTACTGTTGACAGCATGAATTGCATCACCATTCACAACCCCTCCTTCCACAAACCCCATCATCAAATTGGAACCTTCTTCCTTAGCAGCAGCACCTTGTTGGGTGGCACAAGCTAACAAATCAGAGGGAATAAGCGAAGGATCGTAGAGAGAAGTTAAAGTTGGACAAGCGGGGTGAAGAATAGAGGAAGATTCAACGAAAGAGGGTTGGTTCTGAGCGAAAACTCTTAGCTTGTCCCTTCTACTTTGTTGTGGGACATGGTAATGCTCAAAACCCTCAGCCATAGGCAAGAAAAGAAAGTTAAAAAGAGAGGGGTTGGTGGAGTTGGTGATGTTGTTGCAGTTGATGAAGAAGGAGAAGAGGGAAATAGAGTGGAGCAGAAGAGGTGACGGAAGTTGCACAGAAGAATAGTGGAAGTGATGGTGACTGTGAAAGGAAAGGATATAATAATTATCATGATCTTATGCAGCAGAGAAAGTGGCGCAGTTTGTGACAGAGATACGTAAAGTGAAGTGATTTGAGAAATTGGGGTGTGGTATGGGGTTTGGTCTCTACACGCATCTGAAATCACTGCACACAAACTCACACACTCACTCACAAGCAAACACAGTTTTTCTCTCTCTTTCTCTATGCACTGTTTTTAACGAGTAACTGTGGATTCTTCAGTTTCGTTCTCTTTCTCTCTCTTGAAACTCCAAAGGGAAGGTGCTCATGATACACCTTGGGGCTCGAGAAAGACCGGCTATTTCCGGTAATAATCGAACAACGTTGCTCCTGTGTGTGTTGCAGATATTTCTGACAACCGGGTTTCTCAGTTTTGTCGTCTTCTGAAGCCTCTTGTGTTCTCTGTCTTTCTCACCTTATTTTATTGTTTACCATTCAATACTCAGATTTGACAATGATTTACAATTATATCAAAAGTTTAAAGACTTGGACTTTTATATTTTACACGATAATATATATATATATATATATATATATATATATATATATATATATATATTAAATATACTATGCTATTATAAATAGTTATTTTTAAAATTATTGAAATTCAATTTAGAGATAAGAATAAAATATATTGGGCTTAGTATCACTTTTATCATTTTTTATTTCATCATTAATATTTTTATTTTAAGTAATTTACTCGTTCATTAAATTTCTAACAAAATAATAATTTGCTAAGAAAAACTTAATTGAAAAGAAAGTAAACTAATGTCATTTATAAAAAATTAGTTCCAAAATACCTATTTTTTATTTTTTAAAATTACTTATATCAATTATTTGGAAAAAATACACTATTTTAATATTTTATCGGTAAAATATGTAATTAAATTAAGATAAATTAAATTATATTAATAAAAAAATATAGAGGACTAGTTACTCTTTGAAAGAATATAACATATAAGGTATATGTTAAATAATAACAAAAAGAAGAAGGTTGAAACTAAAAATTAAAAATTAAAAAATAATAAATATGAATTAATAAAAGTAATGGTGGTGATAGATATTAGACAGTGAAGGTGATAGATAGGATGACGCATGTGAGAAGGGAGGAACAGAGCGGTGAATGAAAGACTGGCTTCTGCCGTTCTCAACACTCGTCCCCTCTTGCTGTACCACCCTTCAATGTCTCTCTATTCACCAAACTGGACTTTTTTTTTTCAATTGAGGCTATTTTGAAACTGGAACATTAAAAAATCTATATTCCTCTATGGATAAACTAAATTTCTACTTGGGCCTTTGTTGCTCTTCTTCGTTATCTTTAACCTCATTCCTGTTCACTTCCATGGGACAATAATGGTCCTCATATCAACATCATCATATAATATATCAATTTTACTATTATATATAGTTATTATAAGATAAATAAATATTAAATTTACAACAATAATAATGGCAGGAATATATTGACCCAATATGAAGACCTATTGACCCTTTTCTTGCATTCTGAGGATATGTGCATATTCCCCACAATACTCCATGTCCTGTATTCAACACCATAAATGAAGAAAAAAAATCAAAGAAAATTTAATTTATTTACTTCTTGTGGTCCAAAATCATTATTTACTTCAAAGTAGTCTTACCTCCAACCCTTCCAGTTCCCCCATTTACTGGAGCAGATAGTTAGCTTTCTTCCTTGCACAATGTTGAAGCACCCAAAAACAATGCCATGATTTCTAGTAAACTAAGATGAATCCTGTCATATATGAGACAAGGCCTTTTGTGTACTTTTCGAGTCTTCTATCTTGCACAAAGTATTCAAGACATTTGATTGATTATCTACTATATTTCTTCTGGCTAAAATTAAAAATATTCATGTTTATGCTACTTCTTCAATACAAGTTATGGTTAATTGATATTGGGTATGAACTATTATTGACACACTCTTTTAAATTTATCAGAAATATACTATTGTCATTCCTCGTATATAAACAGATATAATTAAATTTTAATATAATCTTGAATGCCTTAGTGTTGTTTGGATTTGCACTTTCTCTTTACTCTATTCTTTTTTTCACCAAAATATTAAATTTTTTATTAATAGAAATTTAACATAAGAAATTATAATAAGAACTCACAAGAATTTACAATAACTCACACAAGCAGTACAATAACTAAACTACTCTTATTCAAAATAAAAATTTTATTGTATTTATTATCTTATATAATTTTGGTAAATTGTTATTCACTTCTTTTGAATAATAATAATGCAAGAAAATATAAAGATTGAGCTTAAAATTTTTATTAATCTTGAAAGGTTGTATATATAGAATTTATAATGTTAGCTTCTATTTATTTTAAATAATGTACTATTTAAGTAAACTAAAGAACAAGTGCATATCATATTTTGTTTTAAATAATATATGAGAATTTAAAAGCATGGATTCAAGGAAGAGATTAGATGAAACTTATTTGTGAAATGAGAAGATGAGAGAAAAAATACATATTATTTATGATAATTTTACATAATTACTTTTCTTTAGATCTTTTTGATGACAAAGATACATGTAAGATTCCTTTGTAGCAAAGATTCATCATTATTGTTATTGCTTGATGTCATTAGGGTGTATTTGGAGAGGTAAGTGTAAGAGAAGAGATAACATGTATGGTTAAGAATGAATTATAATTATAAAGAATTGATTCTTAGTGAAGGAGAATCAATTCTCCTTTAATAAAAATTGATTTTCGGTGGATATATTGAAATGAAAATTGATTATGCCTTTATCAATAACATATTTATGATAACAATGATAAGGTGAGAATCGATTGTTGGCTAAGTGGGAATCAATTATTCGTTATTAAGAATTTATTCTTTATATTATTATTATTATTATTATTAAACATAGGAATCGATTTTATTATTATTCTTAATCGTGATAATCAATTATGATATTTAACATTAATAATAATATTATAACAATAAATATATAAATTATAATAATTATTATTATTTTTATAATAAAAATAATAAATATAATCATAATAATCATATTAATCATTAAAATAAAAAATTAAATAATTATAATATTTTAAATAACATTTATAATAATAAATATATAAATAATTATTATTATTATATTAATAATAATACTAATAATTATTTTGATAATAATAATAATTTAAATAAATATAATATTTTAAATAATAATAATAATTTTTATCAAAAGGGTAATTTGGTAAATTTTAATTTTTTATTAATTTTTTTATCATTTACATAAATCAAATTACTCACAAATTTTCATAATTTTTTCTCTCATTTCCCTACACTTCTTGCCATATTTTCCTTTGATCCAAGCAACCTTACTTTCACTTATCTTTCCCTTCAAATCTATATTTTTCTACTCCATCAAATCAATCTTCTACGCCAAACAAGGACTTAATGTTCCAATCTTATCTCGTAAGAGTCTCTGTATATAGACCCTAAGCCTAAGGAATAACAATGTGTCAAACGTAGTTGTAACCTCATTTTTGGTAAAGATTTTATAACATATTTGCATGATTCCCCTCTAAGATTATCTTCTCAATTATGACCTCCCTAAACTCAACAACATCTCTCATGAAGTGCAGCCTGAAGTCTTCATATTTTTCCTCTTGTGATAAATCTGATGATGAGCTAGATAAATGTCACTTTAATGATCATAGTGAATAGTCACATAGTCTTGCACAATTTCCAACTCTCCAATCATTTAGGTAGTAGATACCACTACCATTGATTGCAAAATAGATTTCCAGCAAACTATAGTACCAAACAATGGAAAATATATCCAAAAAGTGACTTTATGGTATTAACATTCCCTCCATAATCAATATTTATAACCCCTATATAACAGTTCTATCATGAATGGACCATCTATACACTAGACCAAATGATATTGCTCCTTTGAGATACCTCAACACCCACTTCAAAAGTCTCCTAATGAACTCGTTCAAGATCCACCATGAATCTATTGACTATATTAATAGCATGCACTAAATTTGGTCTGATACATACCTTTGCCTGGTGTCCTAAAGGTGTTCCCATGGGTTTAGATTCATGCATCATAAACCTTTCAACCATCTTTTGCAAGTATCCTTGCTAAAACAAACGCAACATCCCAACTGTTTAATCCATCTGTATGTCCATCTCCAATATATGTCTCGCAAGATAAATATCCTTTATTTCAAACTATAAGCTTAGTTTTGAGCTCTTTCAATTTAATTTTATAATGGCTAACCATAAGAATATTGTCTACATATAAGAGGAAGAACACTATAGACTTTTCCTTTATTTCGAGGATGTAGATACAATTATCATAATTGCTCTTTGTTAAGTGTCAAAAGTTGATATAATTATACTTTGAATTATTATTTAATCACTTAAATTATGTTGATTCTAATATATTATTCTCCCAATGTAGGATGAATTTACAGAATACCTGGGTACAAAAGGAAGGATCATAATTTGCAAGTTAATTAAAGAAAAATTAGAAAAAAGGGAAGAAGATTTTTAACCTAAGATTCGTTTGAATGGAGTAGACGCTCGCTTGAGTTAAAATACGTTAAACCTCTCTGGAAGTCATTCGCTCGAGCGAGGCGGACGCTCACTTGAGCAGAAATACGTTAAAGCTCTCGGGAATTCAATCGCTCAAGCGAGCAAATTCTCGCTTAAGCGAAAATCATCAGAATTCACTTGAGCGAAAATATCTGCTTGAGCGAATGATGCAAAAATTTTATATAAAAAGATAAAATGTGTTTTGAAAAAGGAGAGTTCGAGGTTTTGAGAAGAGAGGCGAAATCTACTCCGAGCTTTCGTCCAATCTTCAATTCTTTTTGAATTCTTTCTCATTGGATCATTGTAATGGTCATCATGAGTGACTAACTTTATTCTCTTAGGATTGGGTGCACTTCCTTTGAACTATTTTGTATCTTGGTGATATTTTGATATATTAATTTATGTTTTTTATGTTGATATTATTATCCTTTGTGTTCTTTAATGTTTATCTTTGATATTTGGGATGTAAATAGAAAATATATCTTGAACCATAGATCAGGTTAAGAATATTTGCTACGTTAATTGCTAG